TGATCGCAAGTGGTTTGGTTCGAAAACTCGCCGGAAAACTTCTCCAGCAGCCGGAACAGTGACGGATGGTGGTTCCGGTCGGAGGTGCTGACGCGTTCGGAAATCACTCTAAAGGAGCTTAAAGCCCTAGATGGCTTGCCAGAAGGACACACGACAAGGAAAAGAGGACTCCTAAGTAGCGGGCTTAGGTTTTAAAGCGAAAACAAAGTTTTAAGCGAAAGCGAGGGTCTGTTCCCCAGAACAAAAGAGCTTTGGTACCAACTTGATTATCAAATAATATGTTGTATATTATGCTAATACAAAGAGTTACAATATATAGAGAGACCCTAATGGGCTTAAGAGAAAAGCTCAGACCTAATCCAAAACTAAATAGGAAAAGAATATTTACAGATAGGAAAGTAATCTATACAAATCTAAACCAAATCTATATATCTAATATTTCCTATTCTAATAGTATGGTTCATACACATTTTGGAAAGTCCATGAAACATTTGCATTCGAATAATGCTCAATAGTATGTTAATCAAAATCTCTCTCAATTTCTTAAACATGGTATTGTTCATGAATTCACATGCTAATACTCTCCGACAAAATGGCGTTGCTTAAAAAAAATCACATTACCAAAGCATTGCTATTAAAAATGTTTGTTCCTAGCTTATATTGGGGGAAAGCATTATTAACTGCTACTTATTGGATAAATCAATTACCTTCTCATGTACTTGGTGGTGCAAGCCTTGTTCATCTCATGATATCTTTCTTTCCTTTTCTTTTTATTATGAAGAGTCTAGAATCTCTTGTCTTTTTGGTTGTATTGCATTTAATTGGAAAAAAGGATTTGTATAGTATTAAATTGTATGTATAAATGTACAAGAATTTTCTATTTAAAGAGGCTAAAAGACTGAATGGGCTAAGCCCAAATAAGCTTCTAGAGTATTTTGGAGTAATCTAACTAATACAAATAATAATCAAATAAATAATTCTAATATTTACAACACTCCCCCTCAAGCTGAGGAATGAATATTTATCATTCCCAGCTCGTTAGTAAGTTTTTGAAACCTATCATTAGGAAGACCCTTAGTCAAGACATCAGCCAAATGACGACCAAACGGAATATATGGAGTAGTGATCGGTCCAGAGTCTAGTTTCTCTTTAATGAAGTGGCGGTCAATCTCAATATGTTTGGTTCGACCGTGTTGGACTGGAGGGCTATATAATAGCTGATTTGTGAGTAACTTCATAGATACTTCATATCTCACCTTGAGACCATTGAGAATAATTTTGAGCCATAATAATTCACAGATACCTTGAACCAAGGCCCGAAATTCTGTTTCTACACTTAATCTAGCAACCACATTTTGTTTTTTACTTCTCCATGTTACTAGATTTCCACAGAGAAATATGCAATAGCCCGAAGTAGACCGTTGGTCAGTCACAGATCCAACATAATCAACGTCAGTATAAACTTCTAAGGATAGGTTTCCTCCTCTTTGGAATAATAGTCCTCTACCTGGTGTGCCTTTCAGATATTGGAGAATCATATCCACAGCTCGCAGGTGTTTTTCCCTCGGATCATGCATGAATTGACTAACAATACTAACTGCATAAGCTAGATAAGGTCTAGTATTAGCTAGATATATCAGTCTTCCCACTATTTGTTGATATTGTCCTTTGTCAACTAAAGGGCTCTCATTTTCACTTCCCAGTTTGTGATTCTACTCAATCGGAGTACTGGAAGGTTTACACCCAAGTTTTCCTGCTTCTTTAAGGAGATCAAGAGCATAAGGAGATCAAGAGCATATTCCGTTGAAAAATAAAGATCTCTTGCTTTGAATGAACAACTTCTATCTCAAGAAAATATCTCAGTTTTTCAAGATATTTAACTTCAAATTCAGCAGTCAGTCTTTCTTATAGAGCACATTTCTCACATATATCATCCCCTGTTATAATAATGTCATCAACATAATCTAGAAGGACAGTGATCTTACCTTCTTGAGAATGTTTAAAAAAAAGTGTATGATCTCTTTAACTTTGCTTGTATCCCAAGAAAATATCTCAGTTTTCCAAGATCTTTAACTTCAAATTGAATTGCATGTATAACTATACAATAATTCTCGATTTAAAGAGGCTAAAAGACCTAATAGGCTATTCTAGAGTAATCTGACTAATACAAATAATAATCAAATAAATAATTCTAAAATTTGTTCATATACATCGTTAAAATCCCAACAAACTTGATCCATATATTGTCAAATGTATTTTTTTGGGTTATAATCCTAACAAGAGTGGGTACAAATACTATCACCCTTCAAGTCGTCGTTTCTTTGTTCCCATGGATATTATGTTGCATGAAAACAAGCCCTTGTTTGTCCTTAACATCAAAAGGAGAATAATATTTTGGAAGCAGAACTTCTCTCCTAAGTACTCCTATCCTCACTCCTCTTTCCCTTGTCTTTTGATGCCCAAGAATTAGCACCTCCTTCCTGTACCTCACCTGAACCAGCTAAGGCCAAGGCCAAAACACCAAAATCGTTTGTACAAAAGGAGAAAGACACCCAAACTAGCCTAACAACAACTTCAAACGTCCAAACCTACGACAAGCATTGAAGATACTAGTTCTCATGTTTCTGAATCTAATACTATAAACAATCCTTTGAATAACTGTAACCCTAACCCAAACGACTTATTGATTACATTGAGAAAATAGAAAAGGTCTTGTACAAAGTATCTTCTTTCTCAATGTGTCTCTTTTAAAATATTCCTTACAACACCAAAAATTCTATCAAATCCCAACATCATTACAAGAAGCATTAAAGGATAAGAACTACTTTCAAGCCATGCATGAAGAGGTGTGTGTTATGGAGAAGAATGGAATAAGGGAAATTGTTGACAGACTAAGAGACAAAAGACCAGTGGGGTGAAAATGGATAAACCTTGATATATCTATTCGAGAGAACATTAGATTGGTATAAAGCAAGGTTAGTTGCAAAAGGATAAACTTAAACTCATGGAATATAATGAGGAGACATTAGCTCTAATAGCAAATATGAACACTATGAGAATCATATTTTCCCTTGTTGCTCACTTTGGGTGTGAATTATACCAATTTGATGTTAAAAATATCTTTCCTCGTGCATACTTTGAGAAAGAAGTTTATATAGAGATTCCTCCGAAAATGATTGCATTGATCGAAAAAATAAGGTATGCAAGTTAAAAAATGCTTTATACGGGTTGAAGCAGTCCACCTGTGCTCAGTTGGGAAGATCACAAAGACAATGATGTCCCAAGGATATAGACAAAGTCAAAGTGATCATACACACTACTTCTTTAAACATTCACAAGAAAGTAAACTTATTGTCCTATTTATATATGTTTACGACATGATTATATTTGGTGATGACCAGATGAAATACAACTCCTAAACAAAAAATTAGCAGCTGAGTTTAAATGAAATATTTGGAACTAAAGTACTTTCTAGGAATTGAAGTTGCCTATACCAAGCAAGGTATTTTTATTTCTCAAAGGAAACATATCCTTGATCTTCACAAAGAGACCAGAAAGGTATTTTTATTTCTCAAAGGAAAGATATCCTTGATCTTCGCAAAGAGACCAGAAAGCTCGAGTGTAAGGCTACAAGTATTCCTGCTGAGCAAAGTCACAATGGGAAAATGATGAGTCCCAAGATTGAAAGAGACCGATATATATAGGTAGTAGGTGTTAGAGAATAGTATAAACCATTAAAAAGCCCTCACCCACAAGCTTAAGTTTTTGGGTTGAAGTGGTTCTTTACATGGTATCAGAGCCTCGTGTCCCGGGTTCGATCCTCACCGCCCCCCACTTTCTCTTGTGGAATTTTCTTAACACAGGTAGGTGGGTCTGTGCATTATCCACCCTTCAAGCCCAGTGGGCTCTCGTGTAAGGGGGCGTGTTAGAGAATAGTACAAACCATTAAAAAGCCCTCACCCACAAGCTTAAGCTTTTGGGTTGAAGTGGTTCTTTACAGTAGGGAAGTTGACATATCTAGCACATACCAGACAAGATTCAGCATATTTTTGTTAGTATTGTTAGTGACTATTTATACACTGAATTTTAGTAACTTAAAAGCACACATGGAAGAGGAATACTCTTTAGAAAAGGCGAAAATCTATTCATGAAAGTGTACACATACAGATTATGCAAGAATAGTCATTGACATAATGTTAACATTTGGTTATTGTATGTTTCTAGGTGGAAACCTAACAACATGGAGGAGTTAGAAACCAACATGGTTGCCCACCCAAGTCCAGGGGTCGCATTTTGAATTATGGCGCAAGGAGTTTATGAATTATTATAGGTGAAAATTATATTAGATGACCTTCGAAAAAAGTATAAAACTCCTATGAAACTATTATATGACAACAAATCGACCATTAGCATTGCACATAATCTGATTTACCATGATGATAGGAGAAAACATGTTGAGATACACTCGCACTTCATCAAGGAGAAGTAGGATAGAGAACTAATAACCACAGTTCACGGATATAACTTGGTAGATGCATTAACTTAGGGACTATCCGCCTGAGAGGTTTCAAGATCTAGGTTTCAAGATCTTACTGCCACGCTAGAAATGATAAATATCCGTTCACCAACTTGAGGGAGGGTAGTGTATCCACTAAACATGATATTTCATGTAATTATTGTAAATTATTCTGTTTTTTGGAAAGATTATTAGTTACAATAAATTAGGCATTATTTTAGGTAAGTCAATTTATTATAATGAAACCATGTAAAGTGATCAATTCATAAATAATATTCAATCTTTTTTCATTCAAGTACTATCTTCATTAGAAAGTATAAACAGGACAACACCATCTATATTAGCTCAGCAAAAGTTTTGCTCCGATAGTTATTGTTGTTCTCACTCTTCCTTTCTTATTACAGAAATTGGCAATAATTATATATAATACTTCAACTTAAAAAAAATAATAATAATAAAAAATCAGTGGAAAGTAAATGATTACCATTGTTGCTTAGAGGCCAACTTCTAGCACTGAAACCTCCACAGGATTTTATTGGATATACTGTAATTGATTTCAGATAATAACCAGAATCCAGAAAACCCTGCTCAAGGCCTGCAGATAATTAAATGGGTAAATGTCCATCTTAACAAATGAAAACAGAGAATTATACTATGTTTTCAATAAGACCCAACAGTGAAAATAATACCTGCTAGATACCTTTTAACTAAAGATTTTTTAATGGGTACTTAATCCAGGATAATTTTTGTGACAACCGCAGTGCAATAGTTGAGGTGTCAATTGATGATTTGAAGAAACAAATAAAATTTCGAACTAAATCTATAGCTCTATGTATTGAAAATCTGTATGGAAGGTTATTGTCCCCTTCCCCTCTAAGATCTCTTTATCTAGAGGCAAATTAAGGAAGGCTTTTGGAAGAGAAAACATAAAGATGCATTGACCAGGGGGAGTTTAGGAAGGTATGCAAACTCAAACTTTTCTTGTACAACAACCAAAGCCTTTTCCCACTAGATGGGGTTGGCTACATGAATCAAAACACGTTATTGGGTTCGATCCATAACCAATTCTATAGAGAGACCATTTGACTATAAACTAGATCCTTTTAATGTTTTCAACTAGACTCTTTCTTGGTCGACCGCTTGTCAGACGGGTCCAGGGAGGAGCCCGTGGCGAGGGATCACCATTCACCACCAATGGACTACGTTAGACTACCATATCAAATGGGTCCGACACCATATCTCCACCCAAAACCTTAAGGCATTGGGTTCATGGGTCTCTTCACTTATATCCATTTTACTTAGCCCATTATCAACCAATGTGAGACTCATCACACTTGAATAACCCAACAATCTCCCCCTCAAGTGTGAAACTCAATATTGGTTTGCTCCCCCTCAACCGAGTACCTAGGCCCAAAGTACTCAACCCACCTCCAAGCCAAACACCTGACTAGCCCGAGCCCAATCCAGCTCTGATACCACTATCAGCCGTGTCCAGGGAGGAGCCCGGGGTGAGGGATCACCACCAATGGACTAAACTAGACCACCATACCAAGTTGGTCCGATACCACATCTCAACCCAAAACCTTAAGGTATTAAATTCATGGGTCCCTCCACTTATATCCACTTCACTTAACCCATTACCAACCGATATGGGACTCATCACACTTGAATAACTCAACACCACTACCTCCAATTATTAGGTTATCCTCCACTAATTATATCTTCTTTCTATTGGTCTTCTTCTCACAAGTCCAAACCATTTTAGGCACAATTCTACAATCTTATTTTTTCTCATATGACCACCCATTCAACACAACATTCTCCACTCTACAACGCTTATCTTATGCTCTAATTTTTCCTTTATTGCCCAACATTCAACACCATAAAGCATCACCCGTCTCATGGCCATGTGGTAAAGCTTCCTTTTAGCTTAAGAGGCACCTTTCTTTCACAAAAACTTGAAGCGTTCCTCCATTTCATCCACCCTGCTTCAATCCTATGACTTACACCTTCCTCTAATTCTCCATCCCTTTGTAATTTTGTATAATAGATCAAAGATACCTAAACTATGTGACTCATGGTATGATATGATCTCAAATTTTACCACAAAAAAGGTTTAAGGCAAGAGTACTTATGAATATTATGTGATATTTACCCCATATCCTTGTTGAGAATTAAGTATATTATGTCTAGGTTTAATGTACCACGTATTAGTACTATACTATCATGTCTTGTACTACTAGTTTAATTATTGTTAAGAACCAATTCAACCCAAAAGTTTAAGCTATTGGGTAAGGTTACATTAATGGTTTTATATATTTCAACACGCCCCCTCACACGAGAGCCCATTGAGCTTGAAGGGTGGAAAATGCACAGGCCCACCTACCTGTGTTAAGAAATTCCACAAGAGAAAGTGGGGGGCGGTGAGGATCGAACCCGGGACACGAGGCTCTGATACCATTTAAAGAACCAATTCAACCCAAAAGCTTAAGCTATTGGGTAAGGTTACTGTAGAATATATAGAATATTCTAGATAGTATTTATTGATGTAGTTGGTAGTTGTATATTTAGTTGGTAGTTGTATATTTATTGATGTAGTTGGTGGTTGTATATTTATTAAAGTAGTTGAGGTAGTTGGATGTACTCAATATAAAAAGGACCCATTGGGTCTCTCAATGAAAAAGAAAGTATTATTCAGATAAAACACTTCTTCCACTTCTTCTTTTCTTCATGGTATCAAGAGCTGGTTATATTCCAGTCTCTTCCCCGTTCTGATTTATTTTTAAGTCATTTTCCCATTCCCTTTTTTTCGTTTTAGCCACTGCCCAAGCCAAAATCCTTACCTAGAAACTTCCAACCAAGAAACCAAGGCCACCATTAGGTTCAGAACAAGATTTTGAGCCAGCCCACAGAAGACCCGTAGCAGTACTGTTCATTACTGTAGCAGTACTGTTCATTACTGTTTCACTGTAGCCAAGATTGCTCTCATTCATTGATTTTTGCGAGCAACCCTCTTCCTGTTTTAAGGGTCAAAATCGTATTTGGAGGAACTTTTTTCTGGGTACCTGTTGTTAGAAAACCATGGACGTTGAAAATTTTGAAAATTCGTCTTTTCAAAAATTGAAGTCTCAACCTGCTGAGGCAACTAGTCATGTTGCTCAAAAAGGTATGGCATTCCATGTTGAATGTAGTAAACGTTGGATCCTTGATTCAGGGGCCTCTGATCACATGACAGGTAATGCAACCTTATTTTTCTCCGATACCCCTTACTATCACCCGTCACGAATAAGAACAACTGATGGGAATTTCTCCACTATTGCGGGAAAGGGATCCATTAAACTTTCTGAGTATATTATTTTGAACTCAGTACTTCATGTTCCCTCTCTTACTTGTAATCTCATCTCTATTAGCAAACTTACTGCTGAGTTGCATTGTGTTGCTAAGTTCTCTGCAAATGCTTGTATCTTTCAAGAACAGGACTCGGGGATGATGATTGGCAGTGCTAGAGAGGAAGAAGGGCTATACTATTTTACAGATGTTCATTGTGAAAAGAAGATTTTTTCGAACCACTCTCTATGTTTATCAGATGACTGTAATGATGTTTTGTTATGGCATCGTAGGTTGGGACACCCAAATTTTGTTTATCTCCAGAAGTTATTGCCGAACTTATTTATCAATAAAAAGCCAAGTTCCCTTCTTTGTGATATTTGTCAGCTTGCAAAGCACTCTCGTGTCACTTATTCTCCTAAGAAATATCATGAATCTTCTCCCTTTACATTGATTCATAGTGATATTTGGGGACCTGCTCGTGGAAAAAATGTCTCGGGTGCTCGTTGGTTTATTCCTTTCATTGATGATCATTCTAGGGTATGTTGGGTATATCTCTTAAAAGATAAGTCTGAGGCAGCATCCACTTTTAAAAACTTTCATGCAATGATTCAAACTCAATTTCAGACTTCTATCAAAATTCAGCGAACAGACAATGGTACTGAATATTTTAATTCAGTTCTTGGAGATTACCTAAACCAGCATGGAATTATTCATCAAAGTTCTTGTCCTAACACCCCTCAACAAAATGGGGTGGCTGAAAGGAAAAATAGACATCTAATTGAAGTTGCTCGAGCTCTTTTATTCACGATGCATGTCCCTAAATATCTGTGGGGGGAAGCCGTCTTGACAGCCTGTTATCTCATTAATCGGATGCCTTCTCGGGTACTAAATTTTCATTCTCCTTTATCCTGTCTTACTAAATCTTTTCCCTTTTTCAGTGCTCTTTCTTCTCTTCCTCCCAAAATATTTGGCTGTGTGATTTTTGTGCATATTCCTCCACATCAAGGGTCCAAACTTGACCCTAAATCCATCAGATGTGTCTTCATAGGATATTCCCCTAATCAAAAAGGTTATAAGTGTTACTCACCTTCTCTCCGTAAGGTTTTTGTTTCCATGGATATTACCTTTTATGAGACACAATCCTTTTTTTCCCCGACTTCTCTTCAGGGGGAGTCTATTGGTATTGGTATGGATGAAGATAAGCCTGGGAAACCAAATGATGTTGCTGTCTTACCTTGGCCTTTGGAAACAGGTGGAGTTATTGAGAAGGAAACAGGGGGAGCAACTATACCTGAATCTAATGATCCTCCTTGTGATCCTCCTGGTAAATGGGGGAAATTTTACAGCAGGCGCAAAACACATGAAGATACTCTAGACTGCCAGGATCCTGACTCGAGTCCTTGTTCCAGCAACCCACTTGAATGTACTAGTACAACCAACGTTGATATGCCTATTGCTCTTCGGAAAGGTACTAGATCTTGCACTGCTCATCCTATTTCCCATTATATCTCATATGAAAAGTTGTCTCCAGGTTTTCGTGCTTTCAACACTATGTTAGATAGTACCAGGATACCCAAAAATATCCAAGAAACACTTGATGACCCAAAATGGAGGAATGCAGTATTAGAAGAAATGGATGCACTTACAAAAAATGGAACATGGGAGTTTGTGACATTATCTAAAGGAAAGAAAACTGTTGGTTGCAAGTGGGTGTTCACAATAAAATTCAATGCAGACAATAGCATCAATAGGTATAAGGCCAGATTAGTTGCTAAGGGATTTACTCAGACTCATGAGATAGATTATCAGGAGACATTTGCTCCTGTTGCCAAACTTAACACTATCCGCATTCTGCTATCTCTTGCCGCCAACCTTGATTGGCCATTGCAACAGTTAGATGTTAAGAATGCCTTCTTGAATGGTGGTCTCCATGAGGAAGTTTACATGGATCCACCTCCTGGTTTTGAAAAAGGGGATGGTTCTGTGTGCAAGTTGCAGAAGTCTCTCTATGGACTTAAACAATCTCCCAGAGACTGGTTTGGGAAATTTACTCAAGCTGTTAAGGGAAGAGGGTTCACCCAAGCTCAGACTGATCACACTTTATTTTTTAAACACTTCGACAAAGGAAGAACTTGAAAGAAAAGGGTATTTGAAATATTATTGAATTGTGTAAATAATCTGTACAAAGAGGTCTCTATTTATAGAGAATGAAAACCCTAATACTTGACCTAATTCTTAACCTAATGGGCTTGGCCCAATACAACA